AACAATGTTAAATATTGTATTTCAGTGGAAGTATTTAAGCTATATGATAGAGCTAGCCATGTATATAGTTTAGTTAAAAATGTTAAATATTGTATTTCAGTGGAAGTATTTAAGCTATATGATAGAGCTAGCCATGTATATAGTGAAGCTAACAATGTTAAATATTGTATTTCAGTGGAAGTATTTAAGCTATATGATAGAGCTAGCCATGTATATAGTGAAGCTAACAATGTTAAATATTGTATTTCAGTGGAAGTATTTAAGCTATATGATAAAGCTAGCCATGTATATAGTGAAGTTAACAATGTTAAATATTGTATTTCAGTGGAAGTATTTAAGCTATCTGATAGAGCTAGCCATGTATATAGTGAAGCTAATAGAGTTTTACAATTTAAGATGTTATGTGATGGTCTACTGCAGGATAAAACTATCAGTAAATTAGGAGAGTTAATGAACACTAGTCACAATAGCTGTAGAGATTTATATGAATGTAGTCATCCCGAACTAGATAACCTTGTTGAAATTTGCAGGTGAGATTCCTGTTTTTTTTTTCAAACTTGGTTCATTCATCCGAACTTCTTCAGGATACACAACCATTAACTCAAAGACTTCATGTGACAGAATTTCCTTACATTTAGCTATTGATTTCATCGTCATCAGTTTGTATCTAAAAGGTTAATCAATTGTTCCTATTTATGATATTTTTTAAACTTTGGGGTTTTCTCTATAAACAGGAAATCAGGAGCTGTAGGATCAAGGTTAACGGGAGCAGGGTGGGGTGGATGTGCTGTTTCCATGGTGAAAGCAGGTGATGCTGTATCATTCCTAGCTAAAGTTAGAGACCAATATTATAAACCACATGAAGATCGAGCTCAGAAAATTCTTACATCTTTATTTGCCAGTGAACCTGGACCAGGTGCAGCAATATATACTCTTTAAAACTTGGGACTTACTGGATTCGGTTTGGGTGGTTTTGATGAAATCTAATTGTACTTACAGAATGAAAAGATTGTTTGAAATATACAAAATTTAATG